AGTTACAGGACTCCGGGGTCCAGGCAAGGGCCTTTCCACCACACCTCACAGCTTCTCAAGAGCATCAGAAGAGGTCAGGCTGTGGAGTACTGATTTCCACCTACCTCTGCACCCTGGCATACTCATGGGTGACCTGCCTGGTGTGAGAGTAGGCCTTGACGTGGCCATCACTCATCATACTGGTGACACCTCAACAGCAGCACCTGCTTTCTGCTCTAACAGGTAGGCAGACGCATGTGAGGGGCAGAGGGGAGATTTCCTCAGGGTTACTTTGGAGAGAGTCCCCTGGACAGCAAGGTGATCCAACCAGTCCATCCTAAAGGAAATCAGTCCTGAATATTCATTGGAAGGATTGATGCTGAAGCTGAAACTCCAATATTTTGGCCACCTGATGCGAAGAGCTGACTCATTAGAAAAGACCCTGATGCTGGGAAAGATTGAAGGCAGGAGGAGAAGGGGACAACAGAGGATGAGATGGTTGGATGGCATCACCAACTCANGTGTGCCCTTGCACTGTGCTAAGTTCTTTACACGTATTGTCATGCGGGATCCTCCGAGCAGTCCTCCTTGCTAAGTATTATTTCCTCCAGTTTAAAGATGAGGAAACTGAGACTCAAGGATTCTGGTGACTTACCCAAGTCCATCCAGCTGAGGGTCTGTTTCCCTCCACAGCCTACGCTCATAACCATCATTGGGCACCCCAGTCAGGATGGCTCCGGGCTGCGGGGGAGGCAATCCTGGCACTCTGAGAATCTTACCTGCATTGGAACAGGCTTGTCTTCATCCTAAATCAGCACTCAATACCTATCACTAGGGGCTTCCCAGGTGACTCAGAGTAAAGAATATGCCTGCCAATGCAGGAGATGTGGGTTTGATCCCTGGGTCAGGAAGATCCCCTAGAGAGGGAAACGGCAACCCACTCCAGTATTCTCGCCTGGAGAATCCCATGGACAGAGGAGCCTGGAGGGCTACAGTCCATGGGGTTGCAAACAGTCGGACACAACTTAGCGACTAAACAACAGCAACAGCAAACCTAATACTAACAATAATACTTAATGAGCATTTCTAGAGGCCAAGCCCTGGGCCAGATACTTTCCATCCATCATCTCACTTAATTCTCCAACAGCCCTGACAGGATGATGGGATTACGCTTTTTCTTCTTTTCAAATGAAGGCACAGACTCATTTGACTCAAGAGAGTTAAAGTAACTGGCGCTAAGGACATGGCATCTGTGAGTGGCAGAGTTGGGGTTCAAACCTATCCAGATGTGACCCTGAAGCCCATGTTCTCCAGACTTCACTGTACTGCCCACAGACGCCCCTACACTAGCAACTATGATGTGGGAGGGGGCTCTCCTCTCACACCTGTCGACCAGCACTGTTGGCATCACCAGGGATCTCGTTAGACCTGCAGAACCCCCAGGCCTTGGCCTAGACCTTCTGATTCAAAATCTGAATTTTATCAAGATCTCCAGGTAAATTCACAGCAAAGTCTGACAAATTGTGTTCCAGATCATCTACCTCTTTACGCCATCTCCCAAAGGGCTCGAGACCAGGAACTGAGGCCAGAAAGTGAGCGGCAGGAACTAAGAGAATCTGCCTGAAGTGGGATGGGGGTGGAGGGGAGCTGGGGGTGGAGGGGAGCTGGGGTGGCTCCCCCCACTTATCTCCCCTCCTTGTAGCCAGCCCATCCCTCTTTGGAGTCATCCAGGCACACAGATCTAAACAGGTGTGAGTCACTGCCTATTCCCCTGGATCAGGTGTCCCACATGCCCTTCCTGGAGCCTCTCCAGGGGGATGGTAGAAGGTCTCACAAGGCAGCCAAGCTTTAGAAGATGCCCAGAGGCTTGGGAGAATCCCCAGACCCTCCCAGGAAGGGGTTAAAACAGAACATATTGCACTCCAGCTCTGAAGTGAGAGATTCACTCCCTGAGAGATTTCCCTGGAGTACTCCCTAACTGAATCCCAGTGAGGGAGAAAGCTGGGGGTTGGGAGTGGATTCAGGAGTCTGCTTTTGCTGGCAAAGTCACTGGGAATGAAAGTTGCTCGGTCGTGTCCAACTCTTTGTGACCCCATGGACTCTATAGTCCATGGAATTCTCTAGAACAGAATACTGGAGTGGGTGGCCTTTCCCTTCTCCGGGGGATCTTCCCAGGGGGATCGAACCCAGGTCTCCCACATTGCAGCCAGATTCTTTAGCAGCTGAGCCATAAAACTGGAATCGCCTTTAAAAGAAGCAAAGAGGACTGACTCCATTACTGAGTACTAACTCTGTGTCAGGCAAAGCGTGGAGTGTTAGTCCTTACCACCATCCCACAAAGTAGGATTATATGTACACTTCACAGGTGAGGACACTGGGCCATGGAGAGATTAACTTGTCCAGGATCTCTTCCGTCACAAGTGTTGCAATTTTCAGCCCCCAAACTATAAACACATGGAAGAGCAAGGCAGAGAAACCAGACATGCTGGAAGCATGACTATTCCTAGGACCCTAAGCCACTCCATCCCAGACAGGAGACATTTGCTACTGAAGCCCCCAAGGAATGGGCCTGGACTCTAGTCCATCACAGTCAGGCCATCTTTCAATGACAGCATCCAGGCCCACTTGGATGGAGGAGGGGGCAATCCCAGCCATCGGCCCCACACCCATCTGCCTCCCTGGCTACACTGGGTGGACTGTGTGTCTGTGAGGGGTGCTTAGCGTCCTCCAGCACTGTCAGCCCCCGTGGAGCAGGCAGGAGAAGCAGGGGCTCTAGAGGGCACCTCACACCTTTTCAGAAGGCCTCCTCCCATGTCATATGACATCTGCCCGGCCCGCAGGCACATTAGGCACAGCGTTGTTACCAAAGGAGAGAACCCAGGCAGCTAATCAGCTTTGCAGGTTTCTAAAACCTCACAGGGACATGAGCCTGTGACGTGAGGAAAGGGGATCCAACCGTCTAAGCCTTCCCCGAGGGGCCATAAGCCTTGCTGGGGAGAGAGCCTGTATCAGACTGCCAGGGTTTGGAGGCAAACCCCCAGCTGTCCCCAGGACCCCAGAGGCTTAACCAAGCCGACCGCACCCACTGGGCCTCCCCGCAGCCAGAACCCACAGTTCAACTGCTTATACTGTTAGGAGTTTAAGGAGGCTGAACATCTTAAAGGTATTACCATTTATAGAAAAAGCACATTTACAATTAGCTCTATATAAACACCTGGGGATTTATCTCCCAGAAGTCTAGGCTGGTGATGCAGGAGCCATCAAACCCTCAGAGTTGACACAGGCCAGGGCAAGCTCCCTGAGAAGTCTCTTCTCTCCTGTCCGACAAGATTCCTTGGGTCCCCACTCTCTGTCCCCACTTTTCCTCCTCACACCCAGCCATGTGCTCAGAGGGAGCACCAGCCTTCCCCTACCCTGCCAGGAGGGCCGGAGGACAGGGGTTGCTGAGCCAGAAGTGATTCTGTCTCAAGGTCCAGGGCTGCTTCCCAGAGAGCTCCATATGGGGGCCTAGAGGAGCCTTCCTTAGAACAAAGGGGCATCTTAAATCCAACGAGAGGCCTCTTGCCTCAGAACAATTCATCACCCCCCAGCCATTCAGAGCAACTGTGCAAATGCCCTCGGAGCCAGGAAGAAATTGGTCAGTGATCAGACGGGGAAGAGGCAGCGTGCCACAAGGGTTAAGTGGGAGGGTGCAGGATTCAGAATCCCTAAACTGCAGTCCTGGCTTCTCTGCTCACCTCTGAGTCTCAGTGTTCCCATCTGTAAAACAAGGATGATGACTGCCTATCTTCCAGTGTGATGACGATGACTAAATAAGATAATTCATATAAAGCACCTGGGCAGGGTGCCCAGTATGCAGCAAGTGTTTAATAAGCATTAGTTTGAATGATTACCAACCAAAATTAAAGCAGCCTTTTTAAGGGACAGCACCTCAAAACACCACCCACAAGTACAGAGATTATGGGATGCGGAACATTTTCCACTTGGCAAAACTTTTACTCTTTCTCAAAAACAGTGGTCTTGGGACTTCCCTGACAGTCCTGTGGTTAGGACTCCCTGCTTCTAATGCAGGAGACTTAGATTTGATCCCTGGTCAGGGAACTAAGATTCCACATGTTGTGCAACATAGCCAAAAAAAAAAAAAAAGAAAGAACAAGAAGTCTGTGAGCAGACTTCCCACCCTCATAGTTTGCCACCTTCCCAAGATACATAATTTTGGTTTATGTGATAATACCTATGAGTGTACACAGATTAAACAGCAACAGCAGACTTCTGGTAGGACAGAGCAGGAGAGCACGACCATCATTTTATCACCACAATGACTGATGGTCCATCAGCTAAGCACAGTTCTAGAGATGTGCTTCTCTCCCAATCAAAAAAGCATACCAAGGATCAAGTCATCACAATGTACGCTTTAAATATCTTCTAATTTTATTATCAATTACACCTCAGTAAAGCTGAAATTTTTTTTTAAGTACACCAGCAGGAAGGTGAGTGAGAGGAATGTCATTACTGTGTTAACCCTGAAATTATTCTATCATATTTTTTGTAAAGCAAATTGCTGAAGCTTCAGAATGTTATCACTGGTACAGTGAGGTTTATTCTACCCTAAAGGTTTGAAAGTCAGCACGTAATTAAAAACTGCATGTCATCAAAATTACCCTTCAAAATCCTCTTAAATCATCCCCAAAGTTTATCTTTAAACACAAAAATCATACTCAAAAGACTGGGATGCTCATAATATACAGGCATATGGAAGCTAAGACACACCGAACCAAGAGCTGAATAAAGCTGGCTTTCTCCCTCCCTCTTCTTACAACAGTGTTTGGCTACATTCTTGTCAAATTGCATTCCAATCAGTTAAATGTGTAAATGATATAATTCCACCACTGCAAATTCCTGCTATGCTCCTCTCAACTGACCCATGCTGAGACATTAGTTCTCCAGAAGCTACATAAGATGGAACTGCTCCCTTTATCCCTCCATGACCTGGAAAAAAAAAAGTAAGGGCACCCACTTACTTGCAGCCTGGATTCGAGCCTTCCGACTGACCACCAGCCCAAAGCGGTTCTGGGCCACGCACTCATAGTCCCCCTCATCTGAAGGGCCGCCTCCTCCATCCAGCAGGAAGTGGCGGATCATCAAGGACCCATTAGCCAGCACAGTGGAGTGGGTACTGTCCGCCAGCTCCACCCCATTCTTCCTCCAGGTGATTCGCACTGGAGGGGTCCCCTCCACCTTGCAGCCCAGCAACACGGGCTGCCCAGGGACTGCAACGTCATCGCTCGGCTCCACGGCAAATGCCAGTTCAGCAGAGTGGCCAAGACCTGCATCAGGAGGCAGAGAGAGAGTAAAAGGAGAAGTTAGTGTGGGATGAACTTGAAAACACAAGGCTTCCAAGTTCTCTGGATCTGAGTGTCCCATCCCCATCATCCTGTGGTATTAATTGGAATCTCTATTAATATATAGAAATTTCTGCATTATGAAGGGTCATCTCATTCAATACACTTACTTAATCAACAGACCGTCTCAGAGAGATGGATAGTATTTCTACCACCTTTCTTTTATTTGTATGTTTTAAAAAATATTTATTTAATTGGCTGCATTGCAGCATGCAAGATCTTCATTGTGGTGCATGGACTTTTTAATAGTGGCACGAGATCTTTATTCATATCTTTTACAGAAAAGGAAACTGAAGCCCAGAGATGTTAAGCAACTTGTCCGAGACCTCAGAGTTAATAGTTACAAATCTGGGACCTAAAAGCAAGACTGATTCCAGCATAGCTGCTGCCACTTCTGTGGCCACCTGGTTAAACACTGAAGCCTCACAGGCTCTCAGAGTGTGACCTCAGGTAAAGTATTCAATCTGCCCTGGCTTCTCCATCCTCGTTTGTTTAATTAAGCAACCACAATATGGCTTGTGTTGTTCATGCATGCTGAGTCACTTCAGTCATTCAGTCACTTCAGTCCAACTCTTTCCAACCCCATGACCTGTGGCCTGCCAGGTTCCTCTGTCCATGGAATTCTCCAAGCAAGAATACTGGAGACGGTTGCCGTGCCCTCCTCTAGGGGACCTTCCCAACCTGGGATCAAACCCACGTCTCTTATGTCTCCTGCATTGGCAGGTGGGTTCTTTACCACTGAGCCACCAGGGAAGCCCTATGTTAAATATGACCTACAGATGTAAAGGCACTATGAAAAGTTAAAATTTCTAAACAAATATAAAGTGAGATAGTAATAAATCGGTGATTCTTTTTGCTGACAACACCATCTGAACAGGGAGAAGGGTGTGTGGGTCCAGGACGGGGTACAGGCTAGGTTAAGGTCCAGCTCCACGGCCCCACCCCTAGGATGCTCTGGGGTTTGGCAGTTTCGTTTGTTTTGCCTTTGTCATAATGAGGATGAGGGATACCAAACATTACTCAGATTTCTCAAAATTCAGAAAGAAGGAGGCTCCTAGAACCTTTCTCCCAGCAACCTCTTCACTCCTGCAGAAGAGAACGGAACTGGAAAAGGGAAAGACGAGGGGGAAAGAAGAGAAAGAAGACGAGGGTGATCAGGGAATCAGAAGTGGGAGAGGAGGGACGAGAGCTCCAGTCCCAGGCATGATGCCAAGTCTCCTACTTCTCCAGCGAGCAACTTACTAGACCAGTTATAACTTCAATCCTAGAGAAATGAACCCACCTGGGCTGAGAAGGCAGCCACAGACCCCTCCACATTTCCCGGCAACTAGTGATACGGGAGCGGGCCCCTCCCTTCACAGTCCAGCGCCCTCCCTGGCTGCGGGGAGAAGGGGCAGTGAGGGGGAGAAAGGAGGAGGAGGAGCGCTGCGGTTAGGGGCGTTTCCCCCACCCTCAGGGACACGTAATTCGTACTTTAAGATATCTGAGGGTCACGCCCCTTCAGATCCCTACCCATCCTTCCCTAGACTTGGGTTTCAGCTGCCTCGGCTCCGCACCCCAAACCTGGTATTTTAATAGCAACTGGGGGATGGATAAACTTTCTACTAGATACGCTTGCGACATCCTGCTTCTCCGGAGCTAAGAGGGGAGAGAATACTGTCCAGAGGAGCATCTGCTGAGAACTTGGGGTGGGAGAAGAAGCGACTAGATTTTCACCTCTCTCGCGTGAAGTGGGCCCCTTACAGTCCCTGAGGGAACAGGGTGGTGGTGACGGAGCTCCGGGCAGCAAAGCCGGCAGACCCCGAGCTCTGCGTGTGCACCCTCCGGGCAGGGCGGGCACGTGAGCATCCCCGCCGCTCTCTCGCCCTCGGTCGGCTTCTCTTTCCTTTCCTCAGCTCGCAGGGAGCCTCCCCCTCCCCACGCGCGGCCAGCCGGAGACCTCCCTCTTCCTCGATCGCTCCCTCGCACTCCGCGTCCCAGTCCCTCTCCAAATCCACGATGCGCTCTCCTCACCCGTCGCAGCCCGCTCAGTCCCGGACTCCGCCCCCGGGATCGGCGATCTCCGGGGTCGGCGGTCTCCTAACCTCGGCCACCGCGGGCCACTCTGTGCCCACCCTCGGGCTCCGCGCTCCCCAACTCGCCCCTCGGACGGGACTCAGCCCTGCGGTCTCCCAAGGCTCGCTCCCCCTCTCCCCGACTCCAGCCTGCCCGCCGGTCTCCTGCTTTGNCCCGCCCCGCCCTCCTCCCGCCGCCCGCCGCCCCTCTTCCTTCCCCTCCCGGTCCCCTCCCCCAGCCCCCTCTCCCCGGAGGCCGGGTCTGGGGAACAAAAGAGCCGGCGAGCGCTTTAAGCGGCCGGACATTCCCGGCTGCGCGGCGGACGCGCCCCCTGCGCTTTGAACTGGGGCCGGAGCGGCGGGCGCCATCCAGAGCTGCAGCCCCGGACCCCTCCCCACGGGCCAGCTCCGGACTTGGGGGGCTGGGGGAGTGGAAACCCAGTGGACTGCGGAGTAGGTCCGGGTTGCGGAGAAACACGCAAAGCTGTCGGATCCTCTCCTACCTACTCTTTCTGCTGCGTCCTCCTGCACCGCGTCCAAGTCTGTATTGTCGAGATAATTCCCTAAAAGCTGCACAAAGTTGTCAAAGATTCGGTTTTCCATGGGTGTCTAGTTCTTTCACCCAAAGGTTAGGACGTTTAGCTGCAAGGTTGGCCTCTTTAGACCGAAGAGTTCTGGCGCTTGGGTGGACAGGAGGGAGGAAGGGTAGGAAGGCGGCTTCGTCCAGGGCCCTGGGAGAGCAGACCTAACAGGACAATGAGAACGCTCAAGTAAACCGGATTCTGGCCCCACTTCTCCCTGCTGTTTAGTTCAGCAAACCCAGGCAGTCACTCTCAGAGCTCATCTGAAAGATAAAGATGTCCCATCTTCCCTGCTCACTTTCAAGGAAATGTAAAGGATACAGGTCATGACAAATGACCTGATAACTGGAATAGCACACTGGAAGTTAAAAATTCCCAATAACACTTCTATGCCACAAAGACTCAATGTTTCATGTCAGAACGTAAAAGGAGACAACATCAGTCTCAGGTAAGGATTGTTATGGGAGATAGGCATGCCTCTTAGGAGATACAGCCCCACGCTAGCCTGCAGAGATCATCAGTCTTGGCCACTCGCTATTAAATGATCTTCTGTTGAGTTCAGCATGATGTGCTAGTCCATCAAAATTACTGAGCCTCTACTAAGTTAGAGGAGCAGGAGGTTTAAAGAGCAGTCTCTGCCTCACTCAGCTATTGGCATTGAATTGGTCAGGAAGAAGAGTAAATTACATCCCTCTTTTGATACCAACTCTGGAATTGCGGAGCATAAGTGTTAACATATATAAAACTAACTGATGCAGATAGGTTAAAAAGGGCCTCCAGAAATCAGGTAAGTTTACTAGTGATGGGGTTTGTGCAGCCCAGGGACTCTGTAGTAGCGACTGGAAGATGAACAGGACTTGAGACATACGAGCAAGCAGTAGGAAGCAATGGAGAAATTCAGGGTCAGGGAACACACCGAAGTCCCAAGCCAATTTCCTTACAAGGAAGGGTAGGAAGCATGAGCCTCTAGTGGCCATAGGAAAGGGAGGGGTGGGGGCCCTCCCTGGGCCGAAAGGCCTGGAACTCCCTCCTGCAGGGTCTGAATTCTCAACAACCCCTTCTTGGCTTGTCCTAGACTCAGGAGAGGTCAAATTGGTGTCCTGAGTTGCTGTCATTTTAAATTCCTTTTGACAAGTGTTTAATTCTTCTTTATCACAACGCTTGGTCTGAGAGTGATATGCAAATAATGGCTATTCTCCTGCATGCAAAATGTGCAGTATCTCCCCCTACAATGTGTCAATTAACTCAGGGCTGGCTCACCAGCCACTTTGGGGGTGGTCCTGGGCAGGAAGCCCACTGGTTCTTGGTTCCCAGCAGTAGAAAAACACCCGTGGTCTAGGCACTATAAAGATCCTAGCAGAGCAGTTGCCAACTGTAATCCTGAGATGTGTGTGAGATGTAAGCGTGGAGTCTGGTGTATGACTGCTGTGCCTAGATTTGAGTTAACAGACACCAGCATGATTGTGAAGGTGAGGGTGCCATGCGTGGGTCTCTGAGCTCATAGGCACTGTGCCCATATGTGTGAATGGGCGTCACAGGCAATTTTGGAAGCCAGATTTATACAGAAGATTTGTCGAACCCTATCTCTGGAGTTTGGTGGTTCACTCCTCCCTTGCATCCGACAAAGTTAAAAAAATGTGTGTCCGGATGAAAAGAGATCCCTGAAGAGCCTAAAAGAATGACATCAAAGAAAGCATCTTTCCTAAGTTTAGGTGTTTTTTCTAAGTACCTGTTGAGGGAGGGAGCTGTTCAGCTCCTTTTTTGAGGTGGGGAGAGGAGTTCCTATCCTAGGAGTCTGAGTAACCTATTTTTTTACTTTATTGAAATATAGTTGATATACAATATTATATAAGTTACAAGTGTAGAATACAGTGATTCATAATTTTTAAAGGTTATACTCCATTTATAGTTATAAAATTTTGGCTCTATTCCCTGTGTTTCACAACATATCCGTGGAGCTTATTTTATACATAGTAGTATGGACCTACCCCTCTCTTGCTCCTTCCCCTCTCCCCACGGTAACCACTAGTTTGTTTTCTATATCACTGAGTCTGTTTCTTTTTTTTTTTATATTCACTAGTTTGTTGTATTTTTTAGATTCCACATAGAAGTAATATTATATAGTATTTGTCTTTAACTTATTTCACTTAGCATGATACCCTCCAAATCCATCCATGTTGTTTCAAATGGCAAAACTTCATTCTCTTTCGTGGCTGAGTAGTATTCCATTGCTTAACCATACCACATTGTCTTTCTCCACTCATCTGTTGATGAACATTTAGGATGCTTCCATATCTTGGCAATTGTAAATAATGCTGCTATGAACACTGACATGCATGTATCTTCTCAAATTAGTGTTTTTGTTTTGTTATATACCCAGCAATGGAAATGCT